GCAAGTGTGCCCTAAAGGTCTTGTAAGCTAGTTCAATCTAGATTCAGTTGCAAGTAGGGGGAAAAATATCTGATAGAGTAAAACTCATTAACAGTCTGAACCTCTGCCAGTCTGCAAAAATAATTAGTGCTAATTATACCTCATTAGGTATCCTTCTTTTATTGTGAAGCACAAAAACACCAAATATAATAGTGTCATTAGAATAATTTGAACTAGGAAGCATGTGATTTCATAGGGTAGCTGTGCACATAATTCTAAATGGCTCTCCTTTCTCCCCCTGTTGTTATTCCACTATTACAGAAGCTGTTAATCACAGGTGAAACATCTTAGTTTATACCAGGTTCCTCCAACAAAAATCCTTGGACCTCCTACATTCATGTGAACTGTCTTGAATTTATGTGTCATTTATGTGTATTTTATTCATTAAATCTGGACTCTGCTTCCTTGCTTTTGATCACAGAGAAAAGCCTCACCATACAGCCTACTTCAGATACAAACTGTGCAAGCCTGTGGTGAATTACATGTTTAGTGTAAACAGATTAAATGCACATGCCATTTTCTTCTGACTGTGCACAGGGTTACACAACTACAGCTCTGAAATTTGGTCTACAAATACCTTCATTGTTCAATATAAGCTTTTAACATCGTGAACACTGTTGGAATGCTTTGCACATGTCTCCAGATAGCTTTTGTTAGCTGTGGGGCAAAGGCCTTGAAGTGTTGAAAGGCTAATTTCTATTGCTGTAACTCTTTTATCTATACAGAGGTTTGAAGTTCACCGAATTTTAAGTTCAGAAAGAATATAAGACAACACAGCGCTCCCTTACTTTGTATTAATGCCATTTCTGCACCCATTGCACATGAATTCTAGACTAATTAGCTTATATATCCTTTCATTTAAAGCCACTTCTAAATAGTATTAAAGCCTATTTCTGTCAAAATACTTAATAATTTGCAGTACTTAAACTGTTAAACACCCCTGTATATCAATCTGAGTTAGATGGATCTGTTAAAAAAAGATACCAATTTAAATGAGAACTTTACAATGGTAAAGTTACAACTTTTCAGCAGACTAAATCCAATTTAGCTTGGAAGCAGCAAACTGATGTACAAAGAATATAAAAATACAGGGTCCAAGTGTAATTAAAAAAACCCCTCTCACTGCAGTTTTCATGCATGCTAATTGCATTCTTGGTCATGATCTAACATTCACAGTAGTCTCCAGTTGAAAAAAAAAAAATAGAAAAAAAAGTAGTTAACCTCATTATAAACATTGTAGCTTGCCTGTGTTTTGAAACTCACCAGAAAAAATCAGACCTGAGAAGGATTCAGTTGCTCAGTGCTTTTATTTCACAAATGAACATCTCAGCAAACAGGTAGTATCATACTTTCCACATAACAGCAGATCCTAGGCAGCAGCAAAATGTTACCAATCTTTATGCTCTATTGGGTGTTAGAAGGGAAAGAAGAGAAATTAAGCATAATGTTCAGTGAAAAATCTTGTCAAATATATCCCTGTTTTCAGTCTGTTTTGATTAAAATAGATCTTATGCTGCCTCCTCTTGGTCACCTACAAACATTAACATCTAAAATTTGACTCCACGATACAAACTGCAGACAGCACATTCTGTAGCCTATGCCTTACCTACTACTTACTACTAATCAGAGGAGGTGTACAGCTTTCTTCATGGAGTAATACCAGAAATAAATCTGACCCAGTAAATCTACTCCATTTTGTGAATATAATGAATTTTAAACAGCAGTAAATCCACTTACTACAACTGTATTTAGAATGTACAAAATAAATTCATTATTACATAAATAATCATCAGGTTTGTGCAAACATAATCAATATAAACACCTGAATAATTGATATTTACTATAACAACTAAACCAGTATGATAACATTACCAAAGTGCCATAATGTTTTGATAGCATTCTTTAAAAATTATCCAATATAATCATTACAGGATATTAAAATCCCACATACAATATATATTATCTTCATGTATATTATACTGGTCATGCTTATAATGTGTTCTGTGACATATAATAGAATACTATTAGAAAGGTTTTGGTTACATCATTTAAGTGCAAATAGATTCTAACTTTACATGCAATTTGTATATAGGTAATCATTAATATAGTCATTGACTATTTTTAGAGGAAGGTACTTTTTCATAAAGTACTGTGAGCTCTGAAAAGTCAGAAAAGATGTAGAAAAACTTGCTGTGCACTAATTTGGTGGTGTTTTTAAAAACTGCCTAATAGCTGCATAAAGTTGACTGAAAAATCTATTTGATCTGAACCTACAGCAGTTCCTCATGCAAGTAATCCATATTGTTCTGAGTAGTTTAGTTGACTTCACTGAGATTTCTTACATCATTAGCAGTTAATTACAGGATTTGGAACATAGGTGTCTTATTATAAAGCCTTATTTTTAACAAGGACTTTCTACCACAGCTTCTGTATGTGGAAATGTGGCAAATGACTTTTTTTCCTCTGTGAAAGTTGTAATACAAGCTCACCTACATAACTGAAGACAATATGTACTATTGCACTGTAACTTTTCTGTAAGCAATGGACTACAGTAACTGACATGACTACATTATTTCCTGATCACTGAGTAAGAGACCTCAGCTCCATTTGAAATCCATGAATGATTTGTCAAATTGGGAACTGGCATTAGTTCCTGTGCAAATGTAGCATACAATATTAAAGATGCGTTTCTGTTTTCCAAATGATGCTTCATTCAGTTTTCCCTATATATACTGCGTAATTTACCACATACGTCATTGCTCTGTCTGATGTCATATGCCAGAGGCCTATACATAGAGCAAGTAGCTGGGTGGAAGACTGCCAAAAAAAATGCTGTAAGGAAAAACTTAGAGGAAAGAACATCACCTGAATGCTGACTGACTCACTTACTGTTTATGTGACCCAGCAATTGGGCCATGCCAGTGGCAATTGAAAAAACCTCGCAATTCTCTAGTCTCTTCCAATTTGCATAGCTGTTTATACCCATGTACTATGGGCATAATATGTTACTTTTCTCATTGCATAAATTGCATACTCATATTACTTGGGTATAAAAACAACACAAAAACACAAGCAGAAGATAATTTGGCTTTGTATTTCTGATGAAGTGACAAGTTGCAATAATTAATAGTTAATGAAGTCTCTATGCTACCATGAGTAGCCTTATTAATGCTAAAACTACAGTTCTCCTATGTGTCTTATTTCTTTTTCTCCTACTGTTTCAGTAAGCAGGAATAGTATTCTCTATCTCTCCTAAACTATTCAGTACATTTGCTTTACGCTAATGAAAAGTTATGTTCCAATATAAAAATGCTTGCATTTCCTTATGGTGATTGTAAAGGTTACCTGGCTAAGTATAATTATAATATGGAGACTCAGTATGAAAAGAGCAAAATAAATGTGGAAGTTGTGTGAAATACTGTAATAACAAGCTATTTACTTTTACAGAACTGACACACAACACAAATAAATTATTGAGTGGGAGGGTTCCACTCTATTAATACATTCTCCAAATGTGCATAATTTTCATTTACATCCTTATGAAAATATTTATGATGAATGTTATCTAAATGTATAAAGTATCTGATAATAAATTATAGTCAATCACAGAACTGGAGCTTTCCATTGCTGACTGTTTAAAAGAGAAGTATGCTGCTAGGCAATATTAAGATTTAAGCATTAGTACTGAGCTTGAGTTTTGCAAAAAGTACATGCAATAGAGATGTGATAATGAACTTACTGCAGTCATCTCATGCCATATGAAAGACGTTTTAGACGCCTCACTAAATTTTGTTCATTTTTAAACTGCTTGGAAAAGATATGCCTAGGTGTTTAGAACCATTCTGTCTGGTGTAAGACAACCTCACTGCTTAAACCAATACATACATGGAACATAAGGGCTCCATATTCAAATAGCTGGAAAAAAAGAAAATTCTCAGGCTGTGGAAGATTACAAGTGAATTTCTGAAGCCTAGCTAATTTCAATGTTCTTCTGTAAGACACTTTGTATGCAGGAGATCAGTTTTAGTTCACAATGTATGCCCAGACTAATATTAATACTAAAAGTCCATTACAAATTTAACATTATAATAGATAACTACTGAAAGTTTATCAAGCAATATATTGTGCAGTGTTTACCATGTAATATTTTAACACTTACATTTACCATGAAGTACAAGATGAAAGTGTTTAATTCATTTAAACCCCTATAGAAGTAAAAAAAAAGAATTCTTTCACTTCAGAAATACTACTTACTTTGACTTTAAATATGGGGATTTATTTTTGTAATTTTATATTTGATGTATAAAAAGATTCATTTTTCCCCATAGTTAACCGAAGCAACAATTAAAATTTATTTTAAAGCTTGCTGCTGTAAGCAGCCGCCTGGCTGCTTAGTATATAGCACTGGAGACTTCAGAGATGGAAGACTTCTGTTAGAAAACATTCTGAAGCATTTTTTCTTTAGTTAACAGCATGACTGAAGCTAAGGTACCACATGAATCATCCACCCTGCAGAAGTCTTCCCCGCCCTGCACTATGTTATCAAAGCTTATCTTGCCACAGCTAATGGGATGAAAACAGGAAGTACAGCTACTACTAAGGCACAAGGATGGAGGAAAACTGGTAAAACTGAAGAGCTGATGTAAGATGACAGGAATTATCAGTCTCTTCAAGTTAGAAACCTGGTTTAAATGCTGTGAAGGTCACTTTGGGTCTTGCCCTTGCTAAGGTCATTCTAATAAGACGAAGCTGACAATGAATTCCCCTTACAGGTTTATGAGTAAAACCAAAAACCTAAATAAAACAACACTAATGTAGATTTCTTTTAAACTTCAGTTACATAGGGAAAACAGTATCACAGTTTTCTCACTCAGCAATTTGTCTACTAGGATAACTGAATATTACAGAAATAATGGCACATATTACACAGTGAATCCCTCATGACTAGGCTTTTTTGAAAAGTAGTATCATTTTGCAAATTATTCAGATAATTACAGAGGACTTACATATAAAATTAAGCAACAGTTTTTATGTAATGACTAGCATGAATGACAACTTAATGGACTTTAGCAAAAGCAATTCTATAGCATACAATTTAAACTGAACCTTTAAACAAAACAGTTCATATTTTTCCATCTGTAAATTAATACCTAAAAATCTGTTCTAAAACTTGTGCATTTACTTATTCTTTTCATTAAGGAGTTTCAAAATTCTCCAGAGCAAATTGTCAGTACAGATGACCAGGGGTCCCTATATTTATTAAACTGAATGACCTGACAGTAAAACTCAGTTAAGGCTCTTGGCATTGGTGAAACTTCTTCCCACTCAGACCTACTGCTATGGTAGACTTGAACTTCATCTGTGATTTCTTCTGGAGCATAATCACCACCTAAGATATAAATTTTGTCTTCTGTCCCAACTGCCCCTGCATTAAAGCCAGCACATTCAAAAGATCCTTCCCCTTTCCAAACACAGGTTTCCGGGCAAAAACTATAGACCTTGTAGGTGGAGAGATCACATATGTACAATGTACAGTTCACTGGAACAGCTTTGATTAGAGTTGCATGGAAAAATTGCCCAAATTCTGCTACAAGCTCAGACCACTGATCAGTCATAGCATTATACTTAAAGAAACAGTCAAGAGATGGATTAAAGGCATCAGTAATCTCTACTTCTGAGCCAAGGACGTAAATTATATTCTGACACGCACTTGCTTCTGGATAGTAGATGCCCCTTGGTAATTGGCTTACCGATTTCCAGTCTTTGGAAAGAGGATTATAGGATTCTACATCCAAAAGACTTCGGGTTTCTTGAGCTCCTTTGGTCTTTCCACCTATTACAAAAAGCTGATTTAAGGTTACAACAGATGTGTGCATTGTCCTTGGCTTTTTCATAGCTGACACTATGGAGAATTCATTGCTAACAGGACAGTAGCACCAGGTTTGGTCAGTGGCATCATGAAATGGTTCAGCAATATGAAGCCTGACCGTCCTATAGCAATTCCCTTTGCATCCTCCAGTTATAAATATTTTTTCTCCATAGCTAGATAAACTTGACCCTGGAAGATCAATCATGTGCGTATGTGGTAGTTCTCTCCATTTATCTGTTTTGATGTTGTAGCAGAATGTATGTCTGTTTTCTCCATCTTCATCAGTTTTATGAACAAATATATATTTTTCTGTTGTTGAAGGACGTGCATCTGGAAACAGTCCACTAAAGTTTTGCACACTTTTAACTGCATCATTGATTATTACTGAGCAATTAGCACTCTTAAGTAAGTGTTCTTCAGACTGTAGAAAGTCCTGCAAAGTCTTTTCAGGTAACTGGTGTAGTCTCACTTTTTTAATCAAATTAGGCAGATATTTCTGTCGTGTTTCTAAGTTATGTTTGGTCCACTGAAGGACAGCTTTCAACACTGATTCTTCCTCAGGGACATTTAATTCGTCAGCCTCGAGACATTTTTGTAATATCTCAAAATTCATCTCCAAAAAATCACTTGATCTTAGCAGCAAGGAAAAGTGGTGCTGTACAAAATCTAGTGCATGATCAAATAACCGCACAGAACCGTAACTTTCTGACAGAGAAAGCAACTGTAAGCAATTCACAAGATCAATACTTTTTATTAGAAAGTCACTGCAAGCTTTGGAAAGGAGTGAAACTTGAAGAAATGACGACAGTTGGAAGAGCATTTCCACATTATCGTTTGTTATCTCTGTTTTTCCTGTGTAAGCATAATCAAGAAAAGCTTTCACTGCCTTGGGTGATAGATTACTAATAGTAACATTGCCATCATCTCGTTCTTTCATATTAACTTCAAACATGGCTCTGTGAATAAAATACAGAAGATATACACACAAATTAAAGATCTGGCAAACAGCAGAGAACACTGACTGGAGAGGAAGGAGACAATCAGGGGCATATAATAATGTGGGCAGGCTGCACAGATCTAAAATGTGGAGGTTCTCATAAATAAGAACAACGCATTTGCTTGATGTGGTATAAGAAAAAAACAGTGGTGATAAGAACATATTCAAAGTGATGGCTCATAAAAATGGTAACAGCACCTGTGTTTTATATGGGTTTTTCACAGAAAGAGATGAAGTCTACAGCTCTCAATGTGCGATTGTTAGGGGCAGCATCAGTTTCAACAGCTTGAGAAAGAAAGGCTGATTTAATACATACATAGTAAAAAAGCCTCATTATTTAGGTTATGCACTGTAGATGAATACAGAAAATTAAGCAAAAAAAAGGCCTTCCAGACTGCAGGCTGAGCAAATGGCAGGATGGATGATGGGTGTATTCATCAGTAATAAAAGTCGGTGAGGGGTGAATGAGGAGAAGAATATGAGGAAACTTAATCCTTGCTTTAGAGTTGACAGATAGATGTATGGGTACAGAGAGATGCCAGAAAAAAATAAGGTTTTGACACGGGATTGGATGATGCAGTGAAACTTGTGCAGAAAGTAGATTGTGACTGAATACAAAGATGATGGTTGAAATGGTGGGACAAACGTTATTGATCAGTAGATTTCTGCAAATTTCATTCAACTTTTGTCTATTACTGACTTTGTAATAACATTTAAAGTATTTCACACAATCTAACATGATTAGGCATCTAACACTGTAGTTTTGTTTTGGTTCTTTTTTTGCTATCCTTAATATGATGTTTGAAAACTTTGCTCAAAACTCTGCAGACAGATGTAAGTTGTGATGATTTATTTCTTAATTTTTGTAATTATATTCCTTCCCCCCCCCAGAGAACTTACAATCAATTTCCTGCAAACTCATGCAAAAATTAGGTTTACCTGAAAAAATCACTGCATGCTGCCAGTACACAACGATGACAAGGAATTATTTCATCTTTCACAAGGATTTTAAAGTCAAAAAATATATTTTGTTCTCTGAACTTTTGTAGTACTTTCAGAATTTGTTGCCCATGACCTTCAGCCACTAAGGCATTGATTTTATTTTCAGGAACAGAAATTCCATTGCAAATAGGTCTGCTGATGTAATCCCGCTGATTTGCCATGGTTTCTTCAATCTATTCCTGAAGCTGAAATGGAAGAATAAGTAATTGATTCTGCAGTGTTAGTATTAAAAAAAAAAAATCAATGTATCATGAAACAAAGAAAAAAAATCCCAGCATCGAGCTTGGTTTGTAATTCCTATGCACAGTTCTAAATTTGTGTTATAAGTGACTTCTCCACTGAATTTAACTTGATAATAATAGTTCTAGTTTGCAAAATATATACACAGAGCATGCTTTGAAAAGTAAAATACCTGACATGTATCAAAGAACAACTTTACCGATAGTACCCACCTGTAAGAATTTTTTCAATAAAGTCCACAGGAAGCACACCAATAAATGTGTTAAAATTTTTAATAGTCATGTAAGAGGAAGACTAGTCCTAGATTTACACTCGAAAAAAGCTGAACTCTTACAATCCGATGTAAAATGAAGATGGAAAACTTTGTTACACATTTTTAGTTTCCAAAAGGCTCATCTGTACACTAGAAACCCAAAATTCAAAGCAGACCAATGGTCTTTTTACAGCTTACAGTGGAAGGGAAATACAGGCTATGGGACTATTTCCAAAGTGGATACTCATTAGGCATTGCAGACTGAAATAACAGACCAACACCAACAGCCTGGCCTAATCACAGAGGCTAGGGCTTACCAAACTGAGTCATTTAGAGGCTGTTTGGTGACACCACAACTTTAAGCATTTAGACAATTGATACTGATTTTATCTTGTACCTCTAGTCATGCTATGAAGCTGTACGTTTGCTTACAGCTTATACTGCATGCTGCGAGCTTCATTTACAGTGGTGTAAATTAACTGGCTTTGGAGCCAATTTAAATTTAAGACAGTGCAATCTCCATTTCAGCACCCAAGTTTTTCTGGTGAAAATCCCTACACTGCAGTACACTGTTTCTATGGTAAGTTGGGCTTCACTACTTTTTACATTTTACTTTAACAACATAAAGAAACTTTAACATGAGTATATTTTATTTACACCTATTTACAGTGCTGTTGATACTGCTACAGATGCATAAACTGCCCTTACTGCAAATGTGAGTCAAGCTTGCCTGTTGTAAAGCTTAAGGAAACATTCTAAGGTTTTTCTATTGCAAGATTCTGCTTCCACAACTCAAATTAAAATTAGCAACAGATAATGGCCCACCTGAATTGACAAAGAAGGGGATAAAAAATTCCAAACCAAACCCAGAAACCGGAAAAATACTGTTTTTTAATTTCATGAAAAGGTTTATCTGATAATATGAGAGATTCAGAGCAAACTAAGCCATCAAGCAGTCTTCTTCATGGGAGGTACTTTCATAGCAGACTGATCTATACTTTATCTAGTCAGGTAGCTCCAACCACAAATAGACCTGCATGTCTCCTGGAATAGAAGAGATCCATTGATCTTGCTGCCAGCACTGGCACCCTTGGAGCAGGCATTTTCTCCTTCACATGGCCACTCTCACGTATTCACTTAGTCTAAGCCTGAGGAACCAGGAAAATACAGAAGAACAAGACCACCATTTATTCTTATAAAGTATGGTCTCATAAAGCCCAACTTCCATAAATCACAAAGCTTTTTTTGTCTCAGAATTCTCCAGAATACCTTTTTCTTATGAACTTAAAAGCCTGTTCTTCAAAAGACGGGCTCTTCAAAAGCAAAGTTGTTTCAGTAAAATTGGTTTCCCACATTTGAATGAAACTTTTAAAAAAGTAAGGGAATTTCAAGGTTTATTTGGCATCATGTAAAGTCACACTTCTTCTAAAGGAAATGTAAACCTTTTCACAAAATCCTGGAATTGACAATAGAGAGCAGATGTGTTTCTCCTTTTACACTCAATTTCTATAGCAGGCTCCAACCTACTACTTGCTTGCTGTAGGTAAAATGACATATTTCAGTAATATACATCTTTGTACAATAAACACAGAAACTTCTAATGTCATCAAGTCTATCTCTGCTATTTTAGGCAAAGGCATCATATAACCACTTCCATAAAAGCAATCAGAAAGTTTTCTTTTACCACCACTATTTCCACAGAAGGACCATTACATTGGTACCAAGACTGCAAACCTTCTTTTAATTACACAGTCAATTTATTAATGCTTAAGTATGCTTGTTCTGTCAAAATTGTCATCTGAGTTTATTTTCTTTTGTATATTTATTCACTCACAATTATCAAGAATGTTGATATCCTCTCTCAACATTTACTAAAATGAAGAATGGTCAAACTTTCCAAGGTCCATTTATTAGACTGAATTCTTGTTTTCCTTACTATTTCTTGCAGCTTTCCCTTCATCCACTCCAGTCTGATCTCACATTTCTTTCACTGATTTCACTGATTAGATTTGTTGTACAGCATTATGGTTAAGATCTCATCAGTGTCTTACTACTCCAATTTGCGGGTCATCCAGTGCATCCTAACCCTAATCTAATCTAATAGCAGTGTCTCATTTTTTATGAAAAGCAAATGTCAGCAGTGTACCTCTAATCTTTTTGTCCATGATTAAGGAAGATACTAATGAATACTGAGTTTAGCCTAATTCACCCTCCCCTCCACTCTGTCAGAAAAAAAACCAACACAAAACCAAAAACCAAACCCTAAAAAATTAAATTCTCATCTCCCTTGTAGCCAATTCCTGCTTTATTTGATAATTTTAGCACTAACTTACCACTTTACTGGATCTCTTGATGAATTTAGAGCCCTCCAAAAATATCTTAACAATTCAGCTAAAACTTGGTATGTTAAACAAGGCCAACTAGCTTTTGTAATTATTTCATGCATTCTCCTACAAAGCCATATGAACTAATCAATAGTTATGTTTACAAATATTTGATCAAGCTACTGACAAAAGTTGGTATGTGCAGTCATATGTGCAGACATATGTTGCACAGGTCCGGAGTTCAGGAAAGCTGGGCAATAAGCCTCCTTATATTTGCTCCGTTTATTCCCACAGGATTCTAGTTACAAAATCTGTCTTTACGTGGATGACCAACAACCAGACTCCAGTAGAGCTTCATTACAGTTGGAATCTCCTACTTTTGTTTCTTAACATACAGCTGTGTGCCATAGTTTCTTATTATGGAGGCAGTCTATCCTCAAGCCCTTTTCCATAATCTCACCCACTGGGTACTTGTCACACAAGCAGTCTTCCAGAATCAGGCCCAGAGTTCTTGCATACGTGACTGTGTATTGTCTGTGGTGAGATCAAATATGTTCTCTGTGTGATCCAATCCAAGCTACCCTACCACTTGACAAAACTTCTCTACTCGTATACTGAATGTTTCCACATCTTATACTGACAAATGCCTGGTTAGCTGTTAGCCTGGTTTTCTAAAAACCCCTCCAAAACCAAACCACCTCAATACATTTGCCCTGTTTTTCTGCTTGAAAGTCACATCAAACAAGTGGCCCATAGGCCATTACAGTGAAATTTGATACAGATGGCAACGTTATTACGGTCAACCCCACATAATACATGCTTGGGGACATACATGTGCTTCTCAAAGCTATCTGTATGGATCTCCAGTTGAGTGGCAAGGCATTCTGCACACCTGATAGTTAAGCAGCAAGAAATGGCCAGCCTACATATGGCCACAAAGCAGCAGCAGATGGGCAGAAGGTTGGGGGCAGTAAGGTAATTTTGGTCATTACAGTGGATGAACTAAGGGACCATCTCAGAGCTCCGAGGGTAAGAGCATTCTTACAGTCTGTCAGAAAGTCCACTAATAACGACCCAGACCTCATTAGTTCTGCTGTTCACAAGGCCTCTCTGTTTTAACATTGTCCTTTTCCCAAGGTGATAAGGGATGGAGCAGCCTAGAATACAATGAATTCATTGACACAGATGCCAGGTAACCACGCTTCAGGAGACTGATAAACCCACAGTCAAAATATGAGATATAAACACAGTCTTACTAGTAGTATCTAATCTATTGGTAAAAAAAGAGCAAGAAAATGTTTAACTGACCTTAATATTTGTATACCAAGCGAGCAGCTGCCAAAAACACTTGCTGAATTTCTGGAGGAATTTTTTTTACTTCACCAATGCTAATGTTCCCTAGTTACATCAACAATCTTTCTTAGATGTACTTAAAATTCTGTATATGGAAGAAGGTGAGATGTGTAATTTGTTCATACTTATACTCTGGAGAGTCTAGCTGCCTTTTTGAGTATCAATTTCATTATTTGTTGAATCCTAGGTATTACACTAAGACACTCTAAACACAGCATACTGTTAACCTTTTACAGGAATCCAAAAGCATCCAGGACAGCCATTTTCAGAATATCTCAATAGGCAAACACTAAAACACTAAAATCATAACCATTGGAATATGCCTCCTAGCAATGGTGTTCACATCATTCCACCAGGTTTAAAACAGCAAAGCAAACAGAATTACAGAGCGAACTTTAAGCAGAGATGAACTTTTGGTTGTGCAAGGTCTGCTGGAGTTCTCACCAGAGCATCGATCAGAACATACACATATAAAGTACATATATTCATAAACACTTCTGCTCTTTTGCAGCTGGCAAAACCAGTCTAAACTCAACCTTTATTTGGTACTTTACTCTTTCCAAACCATTGTAAAACAATCTGTCTGCTTTGCCTATAAGCACAAAATAGCTGTGCTGCAGCACACTCTGCACAGCACACTCTTACCAGTAAAAAAAAAAATAAAAAAATAAATTCTTAGTAGTTCTGTTATCTTATGAGAAATAAATTGTTCTGCAAGAGAACATTACCTTTGTCACTTAGCCTTCTCCCACCTTGGACAGTATGTGTAACTAGATAGCAGGATTTTAAAAAAGACAAATCTTAAATGCTGGTATTTTACAACATACTTTATGTACCGAGGAAGAAAGAATTAAGACCAGTGAAGATAAAGAAATTGTATACATTTCTCTACAGAAATTTTTTTCATACAAAATTTAACTGTACAGTTAATAACTAAAAAGTGGATTGAAGTGTAATTAAATTATAAATACTAAATACAAATCTCTGTACTTTTAGATTGTATGACTGTTTTGACTGAAATTGACTGTAACAGAAAGTACTGAAAACAGACAGTAACAGAATTCCAGGTTCTTGTCACGAAATTTCAGTACAACTCAGTCTCACAGCTTTTTCATAAATAACTGAACTTCAGAGAAAATGAATATTCAGTCAGTCATTTTTAGACAATCAAAAAAGATGCATGTGACATTCTGAGACATTTAATAAGTGGCATTTATCAATAATACATGTTGATACAGTACTCTGAGAAGGAAAGGTGGCACAGAGACTTTAAAGCTTTGGGCTCTTTAGAAGTGATTGAAAAAGCCTAACATAAAAAAACCCAGCATGGTACCAGTAGGAAGCAGTGACACTGCACTGATTCCTGGAGGCATTCCAACAGTGGAAGATTTCCTCTCTGCAAGCAGTGATCTTTAATTGCATATCCTCTCACAAACACATGAATCCATTAAGATAAAGAAAATAATCACTTTGAAGAACTCAAAATGGCTGGATTTTATCCTAAAGCTAAACTTCACAAATGCATCACGTTCCTTTGAAAATCATCTTAATAAAGAACTATAGTTCTACAACTAAAGAACTATGATTTTCATTTTCAAAAAAACCCTGGAATTAAAATAGCATGCTGTACTTCTTATTCTGGCAAAAATAATAACTGCAGATTCAGAAAGATTAAATTACTGCTTTTACTGGTTTCTGTAGTTTGTCATTAAAATATGTCTTACTTTCAAAACATACATGCAATATTGAGCATACTTACAGAATAATTTAGCATAGCTTATTGTCATAGCATGCTTTAGTTAAAATAAATATGAGTTTATATTTAATATATTCATAATTATATTCCATATTATATAGTGCATCTCGAGCCTCTGATTGCAGTTACACTTATTTAAAAATAAAAATCAATAAATCTGCTACTGGAAAAAACTGCCACATGCTTACATCTTTTTAAGTAGAAATCTTGAAGAGAAACCTGTTTATCAAACCTGAGAGATTTTCTGGAACTAGGTAAGAGCCATATGCCATTAGTATTATCAGTAACTAAATATAGATATAGCCACAATTTCCTCTTCAAAGTGTGCAGAATACAGTGCTTGAAACGTAAGCCTTAGTTACATTTGGATATTGGTGAATAGCATTTTCCTGTTCTTTTGGGTTTTTTTTTACTGTGCTATATCCTCCTCTGCTGTCAGTTAACTTTGTCTTTGGATAATACATAAGG